GGGGGATTATAAATGTTCACGCAATCAAGTTCATTAGGACTTCAAATCGCATTTCGTTTTGGGGTGGCTCTGCCACTGTGCTCAGAGCTCTTCCCAACCTCAGCGAAGCTCGCTGTCATCCTCCGCAGTCTCAAGCATCCTTTTGTCTTCTGAAGCCCGGTTCTGAGACCTGGGCGCAGCTGGGACACCCCACTGCACAGATCAGGACTACAGGACGCTGGGCTGGATCCCTGTACCCCAGGCCCTACATCAGGGGCTCTGCAGGCTTTGGGAGACCTACTTCTCCCAGTGTTGGGAGGTGAACCCCACCCACGAGGCCTAGGGCGCTCAAGAACGCAAGGCCTGGGATGTGCGACAAGAGCATTCCCCGCGTGTTCGCGGACCACGCGTGGGTGCAAAGCGCTGCTTTTTCAGGCTCAGCCAGCACCGCGGGCAGTGGATGGAGCTCTCAGAGGCCTGACGCGGGCCTCTGAACGGCTCTGCGGACTGACATTGGGGACCCCCCCCAAAACAGCTTAGTTTCTTTTCACTCCAAGGACTCCGGTGGGGGCGGTACCCAGCCGAGCCATTCTCTGTTCCTATTAGCAAACCCGGGAGACAAAGGAGGAGGCTCTTCAGCGACTAGAAAGGCTCAAGACATCCCTTCCAGCGCAGTTGAAAAATAATAGCTTAATATTAACTGCTTCTCATAAAAATATACTTTCACAGAGATCCAGTTACAAGAAGAAACCCCTCATTTTATCCTTGTTTTTTGTGCCCAACACTGTTAGCTGCCTCAGTAATTTAATTGGAACAGAACGTGAGAAATGTGTCATTTTTGAGGAACTTATGCATCACTTCCTAGAAATCTCATTGTGTTAACTAGAAGCCTACTGCGTTCTGTTTAGAAGCCGTAATCACATTTTTATGTGTCTGTATTACTCGTTAATGTGACCTCCTGTCTTTAGCAGATTAAAATGAATGTTCTGCTGGTAAGAACTGCAGCAAACTATGGAGTACATCAGATCCACGGAAACCCTGTTTTCCAGGCTCACCAACTTTTCTTCAGAGCAGGGGAAAGGAAATCTGAAGAAGAAAAAGTCTGAAGAAGAAGGAAAAAAGTGCCTACCAAATGAATAATTACACACCAAATTAAAACCCTGCATTAAACGCACTCAACAGCAATACTGCGTCCTCAATCCTGTTTACTGCTTACAAATTGCATTACAAAGGAATCTACTCCTTTTATTGGAGTGATTAAGCAAACTGTTTTAGGACTGCAGAAACATGATCCGGGAGATTACATAGAGGCTGCAAGCCCAGCCACTTACACTGCGATGGTGGCTGTATAATTTTGTTAAAGCGCATGTTTAACACACAAATGAGGATCCGGCTGTCATTACGGTACCATAAAAAAGTCAACTGAAAATCATATTTATTTATAAACACCTCGCCTGTACAACGTGCATATTTAGTATAAAGGAAGCAAGCAATTCCACAATCAATACTTTAATTACTGATTTCTTTTTTAACTACACCCCGCGATTGTATAGGGTATTTATGTATCTGTCGTTTTCTGGTGCTTGCTTCACTTTAGCAGGGTGTTTTCATCCTGTTTCCACTGTGGGCGGAGCAGGCCTGAGGGTCCAGGGTGAGAGAGTTTGCTAATGGCGCCACCTGCAGGACTGGACGAGAACGTTCTCCACCACTGTACTCTCTTACAGGGCTGGAATCTTATCTCAGGATTATTGTAGCAATTTAATTAAAAATAATTGAATGTTTACGTCATCACAGAAAGAACATTCATGATAAATCCTAGAGTTTGCAGAATGTTTTGATACCGGTAAACGATGCTTAAGTATCGGTGTTACGATGCTGTGTTGACTAGAATGGGAACACCTGGATTTTGCAGCTACACATGCAAGATTTTCTAAGAGGAATACATTTATTTATTTTCACTTTTTACTTATTTTGTTTTTTTTTTTTGAGACAGGGTTTCTCTGTGAAGTCCTGGCTGTCCTGGAATTCTCTCTATAGACCAGAATGGCCTTAAACTCAGAGAGCTACCTTCCCCTGCCTCTCGACTTCTGGGATTAAAGGCATTCCTCACCGCTGCCCAGCAGGAATAATTTACCTCTAAAAAAGAGTTTTTTATTTTTGATTATGTGTAAGTGTGGGTGTCTGTGCATGTGTGAGTACAGATGCTCCTGGAGGCTTAGAAGAGAACCTGGGGACCTTGGGGTTCCAGGCACCTGTGAGCCACTAGACATGGGCGATAGGGACTGAGCTCAGGTCCTCTGCCAAGAACAGCTAGTGCTTAACCCTTGAATCATCTCTCCACACCCTAATTTACCCTTGAAACAGTGGGATAAAAGAGGCCTATCACGTGGTCATGGGGATAGACTTTAAGAGCCAAACAAACAAACAAACAAAAAACCCAACAAATATTTAGCATACCAGACTCTAGGGACTGAACAGCTTATTAGGTACCCCTGGTGGACTGGAGAGGCTGGGTGGCTGGAACCACCTGGATGGTGCTCCAAGCCTGTATATAATGATGATTCCCATAGTGGATTAAGTGTTCTCTGCAGAAGTTCAGCAACCTGCACCTCAGCATGCACCTGAGGGCTAACTCAGAGAAATTTGATTATACACAGTTGCTGAGATTATATCCAGAGAGCCCACAGTTTTCGTTTTTTTTTTTTTTTCGGCAAATCACGTGGAATCCGTGATTATTACCTGACTTAAAATTAAACTGACGCAACACTCTAGCCAGATGCCCAGTGCTGCACCCAGAATTTCAAATGAGCATGTCTCTTAGTGCCTGCTCATGTACCGAGGGTTCCTGGGCTCTGGACTGAGGTCCAGCTGTGACCATTCCCCTCTGTCCAGGGGATGGCCGCACTTGCAGGGAGCCACCTCCTCAGGGCTGATGGCAGTGGAGAGCCTCCCCTATGTGTTTCTGAATTCAGTGTGGTTAGATTAGGAGCAGTAACTAGACACACTTGATGGAAGGAGGAGGAAGATGTACCTTTCCCCTCCTTTTTATACAAGTGGCATGTGAAAGCAGCGCTCTTTTCCAGATGGATTTGAAACCATGTAAATATGCCATAAAAAAGTCAGGTAGAGGAGCTCCAGATAAGCTCATTGGATAAGAGCATGGACTGCTGCTGCAGGGGAACCAACTTCAATTTTCAGCAGCCATATCAGGCAGCTCATAACTGAGGCTGTGGCAACTCTGACAGTCCACCAGCACTGGCACCAGCACACACAAATGTGGTGATATATTATATATGATTTGCTAGAGCTTGCCTGAGGATTCAGAAATCAAAATCAGCCACAAGCCAAACAAGCCAGGCACACACCCTTAATCCCAGTAGCCAGAAGCCAGGAGGTGGTGGTACACACTTTTTTAATCCTAGGACTCAGGATTAAAAGGTAAATGGATCTCTGTGAGTTCAAGGCCACCCAGATCTACACAAGATTGATGCAGTACTAAAGAGAAATAGCTCACAAAAAGATGATCTCAGCACCTGGGACCACATGCCTTTAATCCCAGCATTAGGGAGGTCTTTAAGACAGGAGCAAGGTCACAAGTATGAGGCATTCATTCTACAGCCACACTGAGGATAGGGAGACATTCATTCTCAGGATTCTCCAGCCACACCGAGAAGAGACAGCAGGATCAGCCCATTGAACCTGAAGTAGTGGTACTAGCTAGTGGTCCGCTACTTTGCTTTTCTGATTTTCAGCTTGTAGCTTGAAACCCAATATCAGTCTGTGGGTCATGTAGTTTTCATGCTACATACATACATATACATAAAAAATAAAATAAGTTATTTGAAATAAAATAAAATAAAAATTTAAATGTTAAGCATACAGAATTGCTCTAGACTCTAGAAAATTTATGCTGAACGTGAACTGTAACAGAAGGGAAAGAAGGAACAACTTGATAAGAAAACAAAACAAAACAGGGAATATTTTATCTGCTGGAGAAGTAAGTTGAACTAGCCTAGCCTCAGAGGAGCGTGGTTTTGGAAGTTTATCTCAAGTAATTTATAACCCCCCCCACTTAAAAAATTCTTGTCAGTTCTGTTTTGCTAAAACAAAGAAAATTCCTAGTAATCGTTAAACATGAAGACCATGAATAGATTCCATTTTACATGGTGATTGGGTTAGTGCCAAACAGCCATGCTGCTGTTAGGGACTCATACAGTTACAGTACTCACTCTGCACATCATTTGTGTGTCGTAACACCCAAGAGAACCTGGGTGATTCACAGCCTATATCCATCCTCTTGCAGCGGTGACTTCATGCTCTTGAAAGGCCAGGGAGCAGAGTGGAAACCCCTGGTTATCTGGAGGGTCTGTTTATTGATGTCACTGCTATGCATGGTCCATGCCAAGCAGGATGGTTTGGCTTTGCGTCATGGATGCCATGCATCAAAGTAACTTGCACACCCAGGCTGTATGACACCCAGGCTGCACTCAGGTGGCTCTCAGTCAACGCACTTTCCTGGCATCTGGCTTCTGGTGTTATTCACTAGAGTTGATCAGCAAGGGTTGAAAGAGTTTCAGGCAGAAGAGTCCTAAATGATAATGGTCTGGCTTGCCACCCTCCAGTGTCCCAAGAGTGCTGGGCTCTCATGTGTTTGTAAGTGCAATGGCCCCGGAAAAGGTACCCTGACCCTGGAGCAGGTGTCCTTCTAGCAGGAGTCTTGTGTTCTGGGCACAGCCCCCCCTTCAGGTGCTGGCTCCAGGAGGCGTGGGGAACCTTTCCTACATGCCCAGGGAGGAAGTGCCCATGCTGCTGACCCACAGGTGCTGGAGATCCACCTTGGAAATCACTCTCATCTTAGTATGACTTTGGTTTTGGGCACTTTCTGACAGCAAGTACTGAGCCACTGACCATGTGCTCGCTTTTCACAAACAACCAGGAGACAGGATTAAAAAGAATTTTTTTGTTACATTTATTTACTTTATATGTGTAAATGTTTCACCCGAATGCATTTATAGGCATTCAGTGTCTATGGAGGTCAGAAGAGGGCCCTAGATCCTCTGGAACTGGAGTTAGGGATGGCTGTGAGCAAGGAGGTCAGTGCTGGGAATTGAACCCTGGTCCTCTGCAACTGCAGACAATGCTCTTAACTGCTGAGTCATCCCCAGCTCCACTAACAGAGAGGGTTTTTTATTATTTCCAACTCCATTCTAACATGAACTTGAGGCTTGTGGGTCCGTGCCTCCCGTGGTCACTTGGGGAATGGAGGGGGCTGGATGTGCAACCATACGGCCTCTGCAGAAAGACAAAGATGCACGAAGAACCTGGGCTCCAAGGCTGTGTCTTCAATGCAAAACACCTTCTGGCTCCAAAAGCAGGTAATTTTGCAGGGTCTCGGGTAAGGGTAGCTGGGGCACCAGGTGAAAGCACTTCTTGCCTAAGAGTTTTCGGATTGTGCAGCGGCAAAGGTGCTGTAGGCAGCGCGGGGTGTGTGCCAAGGCGAAGAAAGACCGGTAGAAACGCTCGTGCATCTAGAAAAGAAAGGTAAGGAAGGGCGAGGCAGTGTCTGGAACTAACAAACATTCTTCCTGGCAGGAACACTGCTGGCTCATGCCATCCTGTGGCTCACAGGTGCCAGGCAGATTCCACAGAGGGAAAGCGCTGTCACCTGAAACCTGACCTCCACTCAGAGGGCTGACATGTTTTTCCAGAGTGAAGCTCCCATTATGTCAGAGGGACAGGGTTGGGCATGATTTCCTCCAATCCCTTTCTGCCCTGCCCCTGGCACAGCATCCCTGCATCTCCAGGGGGTGGCCCCCACCAATCCGAAGCGGGCCAGGCAAGCTGTCTCTCTGCAGCAGTGGGCTCAGGAGCCATGCCGAAGCCTGTCATCTCATGGCCTGTGGACTCTGTCATGTGTGGATGTATGTAGTGCTCATAGGAGTGCAGGTCACATGTCATAATCTGCCTCTGCTACGCATGACCAGGGGGGCTTGCCTGGAAAAGGAGCCAGAACCCGCATCTTTCTTGCCTCCTTCCTTCCTTGCATGTCGGCTCCCTGAGCCCCAGCACCGTCCAAGCCATCTTGGAATGGCTGTTGGTTCCTCATGTCCAATAGCACTTTACATTTGTCCTTTGGTGAACATAGAGTACTGCTTCCACAACCTCTGAGGGTACCAAAATTCACAGATGGGCCAGTCTCTTATGCGAAGCAGCCTCATGTTTGTTCGAAACATACACAATCCTCCCGTTTACTCTCAAGTACCTCTAGATTACCCATGATGCAACAATGCAAATGCTACCTAGAGGGGTTGTTGTATGCTGTGATGTTTAGAGAATAAAGACAAGCGATGAAGGTCTGTGCATTTTGATGGGATCCGATTTACACTCAGTACTTTTGATCTAGGGTTGGTTGGTGCTATAGGGGTGGTACCCTCACATCACCACTCACCTGTCCTGCCTTGCTTCTTTGGATGTTTTACTCCCTGGGTTTTGAGTGTAAAACTAGAAGAGACAGAGAAGTGAGAGGGACTGGGTTCTGGAGCATCAGAGAAAGGGACTGCGGGGCCTTCTCACCTGGCATACTTCTTCAGGGATCACCTCCTGCCAGGACTCAGAAACACAGAGCTGAGTGTAGGAGTTGAACAGAACTTCAATGACAGTGGGCACCTGTGCACAGGTCCTCAGCACCTAGAGGGAAGCGGGAGGCACAATGCAGGGTGACGGACTTGCGGTCCAAGGGGAGAAAGGCTGGAGATGCAGGCATGTTCTTACAATTCCTGTCTGCCACTCCCTGGCTCTGTGACCTCAAAGGCCCAAGACACACCACACAGAGAGACACCAGAACACCAGTGTTTTCAGTGAGCGAACCCACCAGGACCAGGAGACAGTGGCTCTTCCAGGGAGCCCATATCCTCCCGATGGCTACCTGTGCCGTCAGGGCTGGGGCTTAATGGTCAGGTAGTTTAGGAGCAGGGGTGGGCTGGGGGATGCTTATGGGTAACAGCCCCCTGCCTCTGCAGAGCTGTTCAGAGCAAATGGAACAGTTCCACGGGCAGTGTGGCCTGAGGATTGTGTTCCCAATTTATTTTAGTGTCAAGAAAGTAAGAATAGAGGGGAAAGATTGTTTTGCTCTTGACTTTCCACTTGGTATGGCCCTTGCATTTTATTTCACAATTCCCACAGGGGGGAAAAATACTTATTTTTTTCACTTTTAAATATTTGGTTTCATTTTGACTGCATGTCTGTGTCTGTGTGGGAGTATGTACGTATTTTAGCCGGGAGCTGGTGGCATATACCTTTAATTTCAGCACTTGAGAGGCAGAGGCAGGCAGATCTCTGTGAGTTCTAGGCCAGCCTGGCCTACATACTAAGTGGCAGGACAGCAGGGGCTACATAGTGAGACCCTGTCTTAAAATAAAAGAAAGGGTTATTACTCATGTATATATGTGTGTACTTGGATGAGTTAATGTACCCCATGAGCCTGTTTGAGGAAGCCAGAAGAGTATGTCTGATTCCTGGAGCTGGAGTACAGCTGTTGTGAGGAGCCTAATGTGGGTGCTGGGAACTGAACCTGGGTACTCTTGAAGAATAGCAAGCACTATTTTCTGGGTAGATAAACATTTTTACAGCTATTCTTTTTTCATCTTTGATATTAATATTTCTTACCTTAAAAAAATCTTGTTACATTGGCTACAGTCTTATGTTTTGTGTTAAAAACATTGATAGTTGCCATAATCATCTTAGTCCTAATTTTTGTTTGGTTTTGGAGACAGCATCTCATTATGTAAGCCTCAATAGCTGGATTTTCTGTTAAATGCTTTTTTTTAATGATTTATTTATTTTATATACTTTGGTGTTTTGCCCACATGCATGTCGTGTGAGGGTTTTGGATCCCCTAGAACTGGAGTTACAGATAACTGTGCCATCTCTCCAACCCTTCTGTTAACTTCTTAAAATATAAAAATTCAATCCCCTTCATTATTGGGAAGAATTTAAAAAGGACACAATTATTGGAGTTAAGAAGACACAATAATTGTTTAAAGTTTTTTGTTTGTTTGTGTTTGGTTGGTTTGATTTGGTTTTTTTGAGACAGTGTTTCTCTCTCTCTGTAGTCCCGGCTGTCCTGGACCTCACTCTGTAGACCAAGGTTGGCCTTGAACTCACAAAGCTCCACCTGCCTCTGCCACACCCAGCCTCATTTAAAGTAATTTTTTTAGGACTCACGGCAGGCAAAGTCCATGCTGCCAGGCTACACTAGGCAGGAGACAATGCTTGCCTTTGACATTGTTGAAGCTAGGTACTTAGTTGCAGGTGACAATTTCATGTTTTCAATTTCTTCTACGGCTACCTGGCACATTTTATTAACTTTTCTCGGACCAAAATCACCTACATTTTCTTGATACACAATCTCCATGGAGAAGTTGAGTGAAGAGATGTGAAAGGCAACTGAAGGGCATCACCAGGCACTGTACCGAGGCCCTGCTCTATCACCCAGCACAGGGTATCCGAGGCAACCGAGTGGGGGATATGAGGGATTGATTTCATTCAGAGGTGACTGGTGAGGAGAGTTTGGAAGAGGCGCAGCCAGTGGTGCACACTCAGGGTGGCTGTCAGCAGGGAAAGAGAACTTTTTCATGTTTCTTAATTCTCTTGGTGGTTCTTCTGGGCCGTTTTCTCGTCTCCATAGGAGGTTTTTTTTTTTTTTTTTTTTTTTTTTCAGAGAGGGATGTCCCTCTCTTCATTCCTCCCCCCACTCTCTCTTGTCTCTCTTCCAGTTTCTAGGCCTTCCATACCACCCCCCATGCCACTGGTCTCCAGGCTTTTTGACTCTCTTGAACTCTGGGCTTGGATAGCCAATGGTTTCCTTCAGATCCCTCTTTGTCCTGTCCTTGGCTGGGTGCACTGAACTCTCAGTTTCCTGGGTCATACACCTGCTGCCCTGGCCTTGTCCTTGGTCATCTTAGCTGATGGCACATCTGTCTTTCTGACTCTCAGGCTGGAAGCCTTGGGGTCATCTTTGATTTCCATTTCTTTCATTCTCTATATTCAGTCTATGAAGAAGCCCCCACCGCTGGGCCCTCCCCTCCCCCGAGCCTAAGTCAGACACATTCCTAGTTAGCTATATTAGGTACCAGACTTCAGCTTTCCAGCCTAGGACAACTCTATTGTAAACTCCGTTATGCCTTCACCCTAGGACTAGATATGTAGGTCTTAAGTTTGTATGTTCTCGATTTTCCTTTTCTTAGAGCACACTTGTTATTCACTGTTTTGTAAATAGTTTTGTATCAAGCCTAAACCTTTTCTTTAGACTAAAAGGGGAATTGTAGTGACATACTCACTTTGTCAGCACCCGTGGCACAGACCATGCCCGTTGGGGGTGGGGATGGGGCAGATGTTACCTGGGGGAACTAGGTCTGAGGAAAGGGCATCGGGAGCTCTCCTGCTTGCACCACAGGGACAGGAGAGCATCCGGAGGCATCCTTGGGACCAGGAACCTGCCGGTGTTCCTCTATGTTGTGAGTTATTTCTAACTATAGAATAGTTATAGACTAAATATAGACTAAACATCTATTCGGCCTATTTGTTTCTCCTGATCCTTATTAAACCTCAATATTCCAGCTTGTCCCCTCCTCTTCCATTCTCTTCCTCATGGCAGTGGGGAGGGTTTAATGGAACATTAGTCAAACGAAGTCATTGCTCAGCAGACATTACCAATGGCCAAAGTCACAACAGTGTCCCCTGGAGCCCTTCCCAGCTCTCCACCCTTGTCATCTTCATCCCCCGCGGCCCCCTGCTACATTCTCCATGCAGCTCAGGCTTCTCCAGGCCAGTCTCAGGCCACAGACTGACTGCTCACTTGGACTACCCATCCCCAGACCTCTGCACAGCTGGCGTCCCCTTTTCTTTGAAGGTTTTGTTGAAAGGCCACCGACCTTAACTCCCCACTCTGAACTCGCTGCCACACCCCACTCTGCTTCTTTCTCCCCGTGAAAAACGTCAGGGTAAAAATGATGTCGTGCCAACCTTAATAACAGCAACATAAAGCCAGGAAGTCCTGAGGGAAGGGTTTACAGAGCTACATGCTGGCCCGAGATCGGTGAGCACAGCCTCATACCGAAGACACTGCTGCAGGGACATTTGCCAACAGCTTGTCCAGCTGCAGCTAATGTCCAGCTTGTTACTAACTCTGGGGATTATTATTTAAAAATATCATAAACAATTCTCTTAAATAAAACATATCTGCATCGGTTTATTTGCATATGTATGTGGGTGTATGTGTGCCACTGAGTGTGGGTGGAGGTCAGAAGAAATCTGCGCGAAGTCAGTTTTCCCCTTCTACCTTACCTGTCTCAGGGATTGAACTCAGGTCACCAGGCTTGTTGGCAAGAGCCTTAGAGCCTTTGTCTGCTAGGCCTTTCGCTGGCCCATGCAACGCTCCTAATTTCCCTTTTTGTTTTGAGAGAAGATCCTAGGCTGATTTCCAGCTTGCAATTCTTCGCCTCGGCTTCCCACACACAGAGTTTACAGGAATGTACCACCGTGCCTCGCTTAATTTTTGCTTTTGCAAGCCTTTTTTTTTTTTTTTTTTTTTTTTTTTTTTTACCTCTCCTGCTTTGCATTTCCTCCAAGTTCATGATGGTGTGTATACTCCCTGGGTAGTACCCGGTAATCTCCTGAAACATGACACTGTTCTGAGGAGACACACTCTGCGGTGTTCAGGAAGACATCTCCTGGGCCTTCTTGTGCCACTGGTTTATTATGCTTATGGCTGACAATATCTTTCTGCCTGTTTGGCTGCAGGCTCCTTGAGGGAGGATGGCACTCTCTGATCTGCTCACCCATTTATCCAAAGTACCCAGCATCTTGCCGGGACCTGACTGGTACTCATACATATCTGTTGAATAAATAATTGAATAGAAATACTTTCTTGTTCTTTAAAAAAAGGATCAAAGGATATGTTTTCTAAGCTGTTCTTATCTGAAAATATCTTCTTTCTTTTGGCATCAAACGAAAGCCATCTTGGCTCCGACTAATATTCTAGTGTCCAAACTTTAAAAACATATTAAGGGATTTTTTTTTTCAGCTTCCTAGCCCCCCTCTGCTTTGCAGAGGGTCTTTTCCTCCATGAGTCTGCTGCGTGGGTGTGTTTCTTCACCCCCCAATAAATGCCATTCAACTGAAAAAAGATGTTGATGAAGGTTGAAGATGTAGCTTAGTTTGGTAGAGTGCTTGCTAGCATCCAAGCAGCCTCAAGTCCAACTCACAGCTCCAAATAACACTCCGGTGTGGTGGCGTGCTCTCCTGTTCCCAGTCTGCGATGGAGTCAGGAGAATAGGAAGTTCAAGGTTGTCCTTAACTATCCAGCAAGCTCAAGGCCAGCCTTGGCTACATGAGACCCTGTCTCAAATATAGGCGAAGGATCTTTCATTGTTTTTTGCTGATATTGTAGCTGAAAATCCAGCCTGAATTTCATACCCTTAGAAATAACCTCTTATCTGACTGGATAGCTAGTGAGATTCCCCCCCCCCCAGTATTTTAAGGACAGTATGTGTTCTGCCATGTACTTGTCAAGAACACTCATTTAACCTCAGATTAAAAGTTAAGCAGCTGAGTTTTCTTCTGTGTAGTCTTTGGCTGTGGCTCCTCACCCTGTTGTCCTAGGCCCATCTGGAATAACATCACCATCT